AAATGGAGGGGCCAAGGTAGCGTTAACGGTCAGCTGTCGCTATTGCTTGATCTGCAGCATTTATTATGGGGTACCACAAAATAAAAAAAAATAAAAAAACAAAACAAAACAAAAAAACAAAAAAACAAAAAAAAGAAAAAAAACACTAATAGGAGTAATTTTCTTCTTTTGTCATAAATAATCGTATTTTATTTTATTTAAGGTAGGATGAAAATATCCTAGCCAAATTTAAAAAGTGCACTTTTTTAAGATTCGGTTCTTCTTCCATACTGTAGTCAAATAAGGTTCTGATTATGAAACTCTCTTGCACAAAACAAAACAAACATCTGATTTTGATGTTGTCTTTCGGCTGTTATGTTTAACCCCGGAGACGTCAATAGACTATCGTAATCAGTAGTAATAATAATAATAATAATAATAATAATAATAATAATAATAATAATAATAATAATAAGAGACAAAATAACTGGGGCACAAGTTATGTTATTCTTTCCAAAGAACTGATATTTTGCTTTGGATTTTCCAACCATGCGCAAGGCAAAAGTTAAGTATCACTAATTACAGTACTTTCATGCACTTTCGCCTGGGTTCACCTGAAGCATGTAATGAGAAAGAGTAATATGGATGCTGATATTTTAGACAAATGGGTTCAAACTGGGAATGACAATTTCTTGAGACATAGAGAAGTTTCGCGAAGATTTTCATTATGGGAATGAAAATTGCAAGAATATTCCTCTTGTGAAGTGGGGATAGAGGCATTATATATAATAAATATATAAAAATTTATTTTTATATATAATTTTGTAAATATATTATTAATTAATTTTTTCTCACCCAACTTAATTGATTAGCTTAATCTAACCTAAATTACTTAGTTTAATTCCTTTTCTAATTCTAGTTTTCCCAAAGCCAATTCAATAACCTAATTCAATGTGTACATATATAAGTTCATGCATTTTTTTTATGAACTTCTTGTTCAATATGTTGGAAGTGTATAATAATGTATATTTGCTACAATTAGTTACTAAATATTGTTTTACTGCATTATATATTAATGTATTTATTTATTTATTTGAGTTATTTTAAATTTTATTTTTTTATTTATCAAGAAAAAAATAAAATAAAATTTTATTTATTTATTATTTGACGAATATTCCGAATACTCATGGAAATCTATTATTTCCTACAATTATGGAGACAAAAATAATTTTTGACATTTTATCAAAAATCCCCATAAAAATCCTATACTTGTCACTAACAAGAAAGGAGTCCTTATCTTGTAGGAATTCGTTGCCATACTTAATTCAAATCTCTTAAAGATTTTATATTTTTTATGATTGTGTAGTTAATGTGGACTTTTGTGTCTTGTTGACTTTGTTGGAGTTTGTTCCCTAATTCTTAAGTATTTATAATATACTTCTCCTTCATCAAAAAAAAATTATACTATTTATAATTAATTTTATATAAATTTTAATTACACAATTAAGTACTTTACATTTTATATTTTATTTTGATATTTTTTAAAAACATATGTTTTAAAAATATTGGTTAGAAATATCTTCTTTTGCTAGTAATTGTTATTAAAAATATAAAGGTTAATATTTATTTAATTATTTATTTAATTAAAATTGATATTATTGAAGAAATAAATTTCGATTTTGTTATTTTTAATATTAATTAATATAAAAAAGTATATTAATTATTTCTACATGCCTAAGGTGTGCCTTAAAAGATCCCTTATTTTCTGATTAAATATTTTAATTAAAATTGATATTATTGAAGAAATAAATTTCGATTTTGTTATTTTTAATATTAATTAATATAAAAAAGTATATTAATTATATCCTTAAAATATGAAGCTAAAAAAATCTTTTGTTTTAATTGAATTTGGTATTAAAAATTATACAAAATTAATTATATTATTGTCACATAAATAATTTTAATTAATCAATTAATTAAATTAAAATTTATTTATAATTTTTATATAAATTAATTTAAAAATATAACAAATACACTTTAAATTCGAAACGAATATGATAAAAAATTCAATTACAAATATGATAATCAATAAAACTTAATACTTTGCAATTAAGAATTAAATCTTAGATCTAATGGTTCATCATCAAGTTTTATTGTTTGATTTTAATTGATCATTTTTACTTTTACTAACGACTTAAAAATCACTCATTCCCCTTGTAATTCTCCATGTTTAAAAAAAAAAAAAAATCTTTTGCAATTAGGAAACTGTTTCTATCTTCTACCAGAAAGAGTTAATGATGTTAATTCAATACAAAGACAAGTAAAAGGGACATGCAAAACGGATCCAGTTCTTTTGGATGATAATGATATACCTACCCATTTGTCCGGCTAAAATATTGCCACGCAACATCTCTAGCACCATGCAGCGAGTGAGTACCAGGGCTAAGAATATAGTGCCTACGTAAAGGTTTCGAAGGTAGGGAAGGGGATTAGAATGGGAGAGTTAATGCTCATCATAGCAATCATCACCACATGAACAAAGATATGAACGCCCCTTTTTTTTTTTTTTTT